GTGGAAAGCATTTACTTTTCCTATTAAGTGTCCTTTAGCTTTCTGTGGACATCTCTTATCAGAATAAGAGTAGTCATTCATATTCTTAAGTTAATGAATTTTAAATTATGAATGGATGTTGAATTTTGTCAGATGCTTTTCCTATATATATTAATGTATTCCCTTTTGCCCCTGCTTAATCTTTAAATATGAATTTTACTTTTTACATGTAAAACCAAACTTGCACTCCTGAAATAAATATCCAATATGATGCATAGTATTATACTTTTTATACATCAATCGCATTGATATGATGATATTTGTTAAAGACTTTTGCATCCATGTTCATTTTATATTTTGCTCTGTATATTTGGTTTTCTTGTAATGTGTGATCAAACTTCTTTTGACATTTCAGGTCTAGTTTTCTGTGTAAGTCTGAGTGAGGTCATTTTCCAAGACCTCCTCTTTCAGAACCTTGATTTTAGCAGTTCTTGGCAAAAAAGACAAGATTGAGGGTCTTAAGTCAAGCGGCTTAGATTCATAAGACACTGATAAAGTCCAAATTTATAACTTTTTAGGGAGCAATTGTAGCAAGCTTTGTTTGCTTCCCAAATTCTGTTTGCCTCTTCCTTGTGCTGACATAGCCTGTGTGGCTATGCGACTAGAGAAGCTGACCTACTCTGCACTAGAATTTGGGTCTATTTTAAACTTTTTAAGCCAAATATGATTGGAGCTCCTTAAAATCATATTGAAGAGCATTGGGCTGCAAATTTGAAAATGCCGAGTCAAAAGATAGAAAGACTTCAGTTCTTGAAGACTTTGAAGCATTGACTATCCACTTGTGTTGTTTGTGAGATAAATTCCTAGAATTTCTAAGCAATTGTTGTTTGCTTTATGTTTTTTAATGAAAAATCATAATTATTATAAAAATATATCTAATATAGAAGTAAATTTTGTAATCTTGCCACATCAATAAAAAACAAAGTAAAAGATTTGTTTTTATTACCTTTCAAATATTTCAGAGAGAGGGAGAGAGATGTATTAATGGGGCTTCTAGAATGCTGTGAAAGTTTGATGAATTGTCCTTTTACATTCTAGGGATACTGAAGAACCTGGAGTGGCAATCAAGAATTCTAAACATCTTCTCAAGTAGGCAATCAAAGAGACAAGCTGGCAAATTTTTCATCAGGTTCCTTCACCTTTTTTAACTTCATGCTGATCACACTGCTCCTTGCATTTGCCACTGCAAAATCAGCAGCCTCATTTTCAAAACACCCTTGGGACATGTTATAATTTCCGTGATTTCAAATCACCTTGCATTAGTTATATTTTGGCCTGGTAACACTCATGCAAGGGGCATGTTCATTACACCTGGAGAGGCTGAGAACTGACATTAGCAAGCCGAAGATACTGCTGACAGGAGCTTGTGAAGGCAGAGAAAGTACTAAAGAGCAAGTTTGGAGTTGATTATTTTGCACAAGAAACAGGAACAAGGGGAAGACTTTTGAGGAGTGGGTTAGTGCAGTAACCTCCTACTGGGCTGTCTGCTTCCATCCTCATCCTCCTGTGCTCTATTCAACACAGCAGAGAGGACGTTTTAAACCAGAGTCAGGTTTAGTCACTCTTCATGGCTTCCCACCTCATTCAGAGCAAAAATGAAATTCCTTACAGTGGACAAAGGTCTTAGGTGATCTGGCCCATTACTTTCCTTAATGCCTGCCTCCTCTCACTGAGTTCCTGCCACGGTGGCCTCCTTTTCTTCCCCAAAAAACTTGGGGCAAGGTCAGACATCAGAGCCTTTGCCTTTGTTGATGCCTTTGCCTACAAGCTCTTCCCCCAAATATTTACTTGGCCAGCATCCTCAATTCTTCTAAGTCTTCTGTCAAATATCATCCCAATGAGATTTTCTCCCCCAAATTGACACTTTATCTTCCATCATTGCCTTATTTTTTCATGTTACTTATCACATCTATTAAAAAATTTTAATTGACTCATTAAGAACAGAAACATAGGGCTGGATGCGGTGGTGCACGCCTATAATCCCAGCATTTTGTGAGGCAAAGGTGGGTGGATGACCTGAGGTCAGGAGTTTGAGACCAGCCCGACCAGCATGGAGAAAACCCATCTCTACTAAAAATACAAAATTAGCCGGGCCTGGTGGCACATGCCTGTAATCCCGGCTACTCGGGAGGCTGTAGCAAGAGAATTGCTTGAACCTGGGTGAGCCAAGATCACGCCATTGCACTCCAGCCTGGGCAACAAGAGTGAAACTCCATCTCAAAAAAAAAAAAAAAAAAAAGAAAGAACAACAACATAGGCTATCTGAGAGTAGGGATTGTCAACAGTTTTTCTTCATGGTTCTATTAAGCTAAAGACTTAAGTGCTTAAAGGATATTAGCCTAATGAATGAAATAACTTGGACTCTGGAATCAATAGACCCTAGACTATGCCCTAGAATGAAATTTGGATTTGAAATTGAGTATTTCACTGTGTATTAAAAAACATATTCTACTTCAACTTTCATGAAAATGCTGGATTGAATTAAATTATGACTAATCCCAATCTCATAAATTTCTATTTATTAAAAAAACACAAACTCTCTTTAATCTGTCTTTGCATTTTTAAAATACCATGGTGAATAACATTAGGTTTTCTTAACTTCAGCCCTGTTAACATTTTGGGCCAAATAATTCTTTGTTGTGGAGGTGTCAGAGGCGGTTGAACCAAAGCAACTCCATCTTGAATAGGGGCTGGTTAAAATAAGGCTGATACCTACTGGGCTTCATTGCCAGGAGGTTAGGCATTCTAAGTCACAGGATGAGATAGGAGGTTGGCACAAGATACAGGTCATAAGGAACTTGCTGATAAAACAACTTGTTGTAAAGAAGGCAGCCAAAGCCCACCAAAACAAAGATGGCCAGGAGAGTGATCTCTGGTTGTCCTCACTGCTCATTATATGCTAATTATAACACATTAGCATGCCAGAAGTCACTCCCACCAGCACCAGGACAGTTTACAAATGCCATGGCAATGTCAGGAAGTTACCATATATGGTCTAAAAAGGGGAGGAACCCTCAGTTCTGGGAGCTGCCCACCTCTTTCCAGGAAAATTCATGAATAAACTACCCCTTGTTTAGCATACAATCAGGAAATGACCATAAAGGTGGATAGCCAGCAGCCACTGGGGCAGCTTTGCCTATGGAGTAGGCATTGTATGATGTTTAACTATGCATTGTATGATGTTTAACAGCATCCCCAGCTTCTACCCACTAGATGCCAGCGCAACCTCTTCCCCCAATTTGTGACAACCAAGACTATCTCCAGACATTATTCACTTTTTCTGGAGGGCAAAATTGCTCCCAATTGATAATCACTGATGTATGCAATTTTAGTATATACCTATCTGAATAAAGGGTGATATTTTTGATATAACATATGTAATTGAGTAGAAATCATAGAACTCTCCTGCTTACTTTATCAACCCTATAGAGAGCACCTCAATCAAGCCAGCATTGTTCACCTAACTGGTAGCTAGCTGTATGTTACATTTGTATATATATATATTGTATGTACATTTGTATGTACATATGTTACATATGTTAAAATAAAGCTGAAGAACAGAAAGAAAATGGATAGCTCTTTGTTCAATGCCTTAGAAACTTTGCCTCTGTGGAGTGTTAATAGAATGCTGAGACATCTTTTTCTGTAAAGGGACTGGGCAAAATACTAATAAAAATGACAATGTGCATTCTGCCACACTTTATACAGGTGAAATCCAATTAAACAATGCTTTCTTCACACGGAAGTGGAATCACAAAAGGAAAATAGGTAACCTGAAGCCTGTGTGTAGAAGAAAGGAACACAGCTTCCTTATTTAGTTATTTCATTTGAGAATTGTATGTGGTATGTGTATGAAGGGTTTGGGAAGGGGGATAAACTGTATGTGTGTAAGTGCATCTCTGATGCTGTTCCTTTTGAAAAGCTTGATTGAGTTTGTAGAGCCACCTCTTTGGTTCCAGCTAACTTCTCCAAGAGACATTTCTACAGGTAGCAGTCAATATAAGAGCCCCAAGTCCCTAAAAACTACTTGCCACAAGACAATGCTTCTAGTTTGGGGGTTTAAGGATAGTTCTAAGTAAATACGTTGCTTAATAAATATTTGTCAAATTGAAATGAACGGATGTAACCTCAGAACTATGAAAAATGCGAGTCTCTTTTACAAGCAATTTGGGATGGACGCCATCAAATGATAAGCTGAGCAGTAAAAGTAGGTAAAAGGAACTAACCAAGGAGCAGGAAAAGCTGATAAGTGGCAGAAAATCTCAAAATTTACATTTTGAAAATGTTTGGGTGAATTTGTGTAATACGTCTTAATCCTTTTACACAATACTTTTATCTCATCTATATCATAAATATTTACCTATGCATTGCCTTAGCATCTTTCCTCAATTGAATGAAATGAAAATTCCAGAGAGATGCAAAGTCCAGCCTCCAAGTTTTACAAACCTCAGCGTTTGAGCTACATTGACGAATCCTCTAAATTCTTGGGTGTCAAAGGCATGTTACTGAATAGGTTGCTAAACGTGCCAAGGAAACCAAAAAAGGAAAGAGCTCTCCCTAAAGGTAAGTAGCACTTAATTGGGAACTTTCAGACGTCTGTCACTCTGTGACAATTGAGAAAAAGTACTTTGTACATTTTGTGCTTTGCAGGTGAGATGTGACTGACAGCTGGGTAACTGCCTCTGAGTATAGGGAGGGCTTTCGTGGGTGGAAGAAGAGGCTGGTTTGAAGAGAGTGCTTTTTCATCCTGAATATCATTAAAGGATTGTGGGGGGCCAAAACTGTAACCTAAAATGCCATCAATTGTCCATTTAAAATATCCTATTTGGCAAAGTGGCTTTGCACTCATCTGAAGAATACATCATGGGTGGAGTTTGGAAAAGAAATGTTGTGTTTGGTCTCTGCTAGAAACAAAACAAGGTACCATCTCGTGGCCTCTTGGTTCAAATCCGTTTTCTTTCTTGCTCCACGGGGAGAGACTGCCCCTGGAGTATTCTGCTTTTAATAAGCTTCCCAATCAGCTCTCGAGTGCAAAACGCTCTCCCTCCCTCGCCCAGCCTGCGTCCTCCTGGCCCGCTCCTCTCATCCCTCCCATTCTCCATTTCCCTTCCGTTCCCTCCCTGTCAGGGCGTAATTGAGTCAAAGGCAGGATCAGGTTCCCCGCCTTCCAGTCCAAAAATCCCGCCAAGAGAGCCCCAGAGCAGAGGAAAATCCAAAGTGGAGAGAGGGGAAGAAAGAGACCAGTGAGTCATCCGTCCAGAAGGCGGGGAGAGCAGCAGCAGACCAAGCAGGAGCTGCAGCGAGCCGGGTACCTGGACTCAGCCGTAGCAACCTCGCCCCTTGCAACAAAGGCAGACTGAGCGCCAGAGGGGACGTTTGCAACTCAAAGTAAGTGAGAGGAATGTGCGATTTCTCGGAGGGCTCTTCGATCGAGTTTGCCTTCACCTTGTGCCACTTTTCTGGGTACCAGCAGATGATGGTGGTAGGAGTGAGAGAGGCTGCCCGGTGTCTTTGCTGATAGGACTGCTTTCAAAACTGACTTGCTCCAGAGGCCAAGGGAGGCGTATTTTGGGGGTTTCAGGTTAGGTTAGTTAGGGTGTGCTTAGGTAAGTGAAAGAAAAGAAGTTTTTGTGATGTTAAGCGTGCATTTGGACCGTGTTCCAGCGATGGGCTGGAGAGTGCATCTTTGCTTTTCGTAAAACCTGGAGCTTTAGTAGGTGTGTCTCTGGCTGGGTAGTTGGAGAGAAAGTACGGCAGCCTGAACAAGCAGCTCTCATTTTCCCAACCTCTCTCTGATTCTCTGATTGCCCCAGGGCCCGCCAGCCCATGACCCTTAGCTGGCATTTCTAGGTAAGCGCTGGGGGTTTGTTCCTCCCAGTGCTCGCTGACATGGAACCTCTCTCACAGCACTAGTGGCACCCGTCTTCCCACCTGACAGCCCAGGAATGATTCCAGAAATGGTTAGAACCGAAGTTTAGAAGACACACCTGGAGTCCCGTCTCTCGTTTGAATGCAAATTTAAAGAACTGCCCTGTACATAGACCCATTAAACTTTTAATTTGACCCCCATAAATTTAGGATGTATTTGTTACTAATTTACTAGATTTTTAGAGTTTCTGAGTTGTTGTTTCTAATAAGTTAAGAAAATATTTTTTGAGAGGAATATATTCAACTCCTTTCTTACTTAATAGATGTAAAGTGAAGCCTTCTCTCTCCTCTCCATACACACACACCCCTTTCTCCATGACATAACACAACACACACACACAGGAACACATACACGCAATTTATATACACTCTAGTGTTAACTCACCCTTGTGTCTATTAAGAGCTGCTTTGTAAGTTTGGGGACACATTCAGAAAATAGGAGGGATGGGGTCCTAAGAGGAGAGAACATTAAAGCTCCAGTCCTTGAACATTTCTCATGTTAAGAGTCACCAGGCATTTTGCTTTAGCAGCCTGAGAAAGGGGTGATGTGTGCATGTGCGTGTGTGTGTGTGTGTGTGTGTGTGTGCTGGAGAGAGGGGTACGGGAGGAGATTCAGGAATTACCAAAAAGAACTTTTGAACTATTAACATAATGAAGCAATTTTATGATCGTAGGCAAATGTGGAATTGATGAAACAGCAGGGCCCATGTTAGCCCCTTAATTATCTGGGAATGCGTTGATATGTAGGAATATTAAAAGGTAATGACAATGAAACAAAACAGAAGTCTCCCAACGCAGAAAATAAAGCTGTGTTTTCCATCTTCGTTATGTTTCCTTTTAAGTAAATTATGCACTTTAAAGGCCAAGTCATTTAAAAAATATAGTCCAGTTAAATTCAGAGGAAATTTGAATTTCTTTGCTTCCTTTGGGAAATGAGTTATTTCAGACTGGCAATATTTGTACTCTTTCATTTAAATTAGAAGGTGAGATTTTTAAAAATTGTATTATTTAAAAAAAGAACAACTCTAATACCATTCTTTTGTGCTTTAAGAAACTTGGGCCTTAAGTTCTCTAATTGTACTTTAAATACATAGAAGGTGATCTTTTCTCTGCCACTGCTCACTGGTTCCCTTTAGGACATCTTTTTCTGCATTTAGTGAAAAGCCACTATAAGGAACTCCCACCTGAAGCCACATATAACAGCATTAGGTGCTGTGTTCCAGCTGTTTGCTTCTGGATGCAAATGCATTATGTTCTCAAAGCTAGAGCTTGAGATAAATAAAAGCCCTATTAAATATATGACTTTTTGATTATCTGACTTTAAATGAGATATTGTAGAGAATTAGAGTAATAAGGTGTACCTAACTATACTTATAGTCTAATGTATTATATATAATTCTCTGTTTTTTAGACCTCTTTCCATGAGATCATGAGATTTGGAAGAATAAACTTATTAATTTATTGATATTTTCCATGTGCCTTATTTTGGCTTCACTTATAGCAACACCTAACAAGATCTGCATTTTCATTGTTTTTTAAATTTCAGTCAAGTCAATGGCCTGGTTTAAAATTTCATAAAACCTAGTTGTTGAAAACAACAGAAAGAAATAAGATCCCCAGATAGTTGAATCATTTTTTTAAAATAAAATCAATCTTAGATATCAAATATTTCAACTTCAAATACTTTATTTTTCCTTTGAAGCTATTCTTGCTTTCTCACTTATATGACATTCTCACATGAATTCTGATCATCTTCCCATTGTGATGTGGTGTTTTTAATTACTATTCAAAACTTTCCCACAAAACTGAGTTTACCTGGCTCGTTGAAAATGGTGTGATAAATTAACAATAGATTGAAGGCCTGAAGTCTAAATTCGGAATAAAAATTCCAGTTCTCTAAATGATTATGCCTTTTAATATGGCAGCATAATGATATGGGGAGGTGTTCCTGACTTCTCTCCGGAAGGAGGTGTCCAGACTGAAACCACCCAATGTGATGAGTGCAAACGTCCTCCACACCTGAGTGCAACTCGGCCCAGTTTGAGATGTGCTTTTCTCTGGAGCATGAGGCTGAGTTGGAGCCCTCCAATGGCCTTTGTTCCATGGCTTTGCTAGTGATGTTGAGTTGGGCTTCTTCACAAGGGTGAGGAATGTTTTTTCCTCTGGCTTCTTTTCTAAATGAATAATCGAAGAGATTTTGTCTCCTTCTGGCACAAGGTCATGTCACTGCTGTGGGAGGGGAGGTAAAATGATACTCAGATATGAACCTTTTTTTTATGAGCTAGGCTTGCTTTTTTCCATCCAGAGTCAATTGGCTTAAGTGGAATTTGGGCATGGCCTCATGGAAAGCTGTCTTTCCTTCTGATGTTTATGGACAATTCAAGTTTCCACCCACTGGGCAATTTTTCCATCCACTTCAAGCCAGTCTAGTGTGCGGCATAGTTTTCATGGTGTCATTAAAATATTTCTAGATTGTAAAATATAACAAGCCTCTTTTTTTTTTTCTATTTTGGCATTTAGTAAATAAGAGATTAAAACAGTAGCTTAAAAGGGTAGCTATGCTGAAACATTATCAGAGGGTATTATAAACATGGTAATATTGTGGACTTAATTATGTAGATCACATTCACCACAAATCCCTATTTCTTCTGGGTGGACAAGGAATACAATGACTCCTTCATGTTTGAGATATTTTTAGAAATAAAATTTAATTCCTTTTTCTAGGCTTTATTTATTGAACCATTTTTTTTCATAGTGGTTTAGATAAAGTGATATCTCAAATAGAAAAGACATCATATCCAGTTTTCTAAAAATAGAATTCTTAGATTTTTTTTAACTTCACACATGGTGTAACAAAAAATCAATTTCTGTATATTAATCTTGAAAGAAGTGAGTCATAGTAACTGATAATTGGGCTCTTAATTCTAAGAATTGCTTTTAGCAAAAGCCAAAACATCATTTTAAAACACAAATAGCATTCTGGGTCTCTAACCCTTTGCTCCCTTTTCTTCCTGCTTTTATGTTGACCTATTTCTCCTCCTTTCTCTCATTTCTCTATTAATTCTGTTGCCACTATTTCCCACCCAACAGGTCCCAGAACGTCTTGCCCAATTCCCTCTTGCTATGATGGCATACATTTCTCTATGTACAGATGTACCAGGAATGTTTGTCCATATGTTGGCATTCTTGGAAACTTGGACCTTCCTAGCTGGTGTTTTCAATGCCCTCTCTACTGATTCAGTGGTATTTTCCCCTTTTCTTTTTTGACTCAAGACCCTGGCTAAGGGTCAGCCAACATTTTCATCGCTGCAATGTGTTGACCTCATTCTCGTCTCAGCTTCCCAGTATCAATGTAGCGGTGCAGCTAGAGTTACTCATCTCCATCACATCCTCTTGGGGTCCTACTCCAACAATACAATTTTTCTTGCTCCTATGGCCAGCCAGTTTAACAATATTTATTGTATGTATGTTGGATGCCTAATACTACATTGTGCTGGACAATGTAGCATGTTTAAGAAATAGAACATGGTGTCTGTCTCTATGGTTCGACAATATCTAATACTTTGTGTTTGGTAAGTGATGTGAACTTGTGAAATTCTTTATTAGAAATGTATTTAAAGGAGATCTCAATTAAAATCCATTATGCCCTCACCCATCTCTGGAAAAGATGCTTTAAAAGTCACAGGTTGCTAACCCCAACCTTTTATGATTATCTCATAACCTCCTTGATATGTTATTATCTTAATGTTTTCCTAATTTCTTTGGGCACTCCTTTTTTCACCTTTTGTTTTGCTTTTCTTTTTCCCTTGTCTTCCAAATGTGTACATTTATTTCCAAATATTTCAGTTCCCCGCCTTCCTCTCTCCTCTCCAAATGCTTCAGTATTGTCACAACTGTTCTTCGAGCTTTAACTCTTTCACAAGGAAAATTCTCAAATCTGAAGAGAATTGGAGGAAGATTCTCTCTAATGAGCTCTAGACTCACATTTTTAATATTTTTTCAGTGAATACTGAAGGAAATCATTCGGGCACAATTCTATTTGGAGGAGGAGATTGAAGTAAAGGACTTCTTGTTATTTTATTTTTATCCCTACCAGATTTTTATGGATAGTGACTGCCGTACTCTATGGTAGGTGGTGTGATGAGGGACACAGGACAAATAAATATGTCTTCAAGCAGCTAATGATCTACTCAATATATACGTAAGAATATTAAAACACTAATTACTACAACACAAGTTAGAATAAGATATGTACAACTGTTGCCCTAAGCAGTTCCAATGTCAAAGGGATCACATTTTTATGAGAAAAAGGAAAGGGGAGCTCACAAAAGGCTAAATGGTACCCAACATCTATTTCAAAAGCATTATGTCTGTTAATTCCTTTAATGCTGTTTATTCTGGAAGAGAAATTGAACTCCTAATTCCTTCGTGTTTTCATTTCACATTTGCCACATAACGTA